TAGCTTACCACCACTGAGTGTTGAGTGAATGAATAATGAACTGTAAAGTGCTTTGAGTATCTTGAAAGGTGCTATATATATGTAATGATTAATTAATGTTGGTCCCCTGTGAATTTGAGTTTGACACACCTGCTCTATAATCTGGTGCAGTGGGTCAGCAGAAGTTGTAGTAGCCTAGTATTAGCCTAGTAGTAGTAGTAGTAGAAATAGTACAAGTAGTATAAGTAATTGCCTAATAATAGCCTCGAAGTAGTAGTAATAGTAGCAGTAGTAGTAGAATAGTAGTAGTAGTAGTAGTAGCAGCAGCAGTAGCACTAGTAGTAGTAGCAGCTGCTGCTGCTACTGCTACTACTACTGTAGTAGCAGTAGCAGTAGTAGTAGAAGTAGTAGTAATAGTAATAGTAATAGTAATAGTAATAGTAATAGTAAAAGTAGTAGTAGTAGTTGTAGTAGTAGTAGTAGCAGTATAGTAGTAGTAATAGTAATAGTAGTTGTAGTAGTAGTAGTAGTAGTAGTAGTAGTAATAGTAATAGTAGTTGTAGTTGTAGTAGTAGTAGACATTATGCAACATGGGCAGTGTAGCCACATCTGCTGCTCACATGGGCGCGTACGCGGCACGCTCCCTTGTTTATGTACTTTATATCGCGGATGGAACATAACAAGTGGAGCTCCCATGATGCTTTGCTCCTCGGGACATATTGGGAGACACAGCTGCTGGACAGACTGGCCGAAAATGTGGACAGTTCCAGGAATAAAGAGTGTGTCTGACCTGTGACGCTGTTATTAGAAGAAAATACCCAGAAAAGGTTGGGTTTACTGGATGTCAAGGCCCACAAACACTGTGAACCGAGCAGGGTTTAAGATGGAAGACGGCAGGTCAGGATTCTGTGAAGGAATTTGTTGTTTAAATGTCAGACTGTAGATTTGTTGAATTACTGGGCCAATCCACATAAAACAAAAACTGACAAGTTCAATGTCTGCTCTGTCAGTGTACATTTAACAAAGTGGTACAGTGGTCTTTTTACAAGTACGGCAATAAAGGGTGGCATTATTTCATCCATTACAAAACTCAGCACCTACATGTGTAGAATTGATCAGACTTTTAGGGCTAAATATGAAATGTTAACTCTTTCCACTCACCTTATCGTTTGGTATTATAGTTTTTAACATTCAAAATACTGTCAGTGCATTTATTGTCATCTTTTTTTTTTTTTTTTTTAATAAGGCACAGACATTCAGAAATAATCATAATAGTCTAATGAGAACTTAACAGAACACTGTAGTTGTATGAAACAGACACTAAAATTCCATGACTTTTCCATGACTTTTCCAGGATTTACATGACCGTGGGAACCTTGAAAACTGTGATTGTTGTGCACTAAAAAGACTTAAGCCATAAGAATAAGATGGTAAGTTATGCAATGTAAAGAATGTCTGAAGAGCTTTTTAAATTATTTTAGAAAATTTTATTTATTTTTTAAACTTTGCACAGTAAGATGGATTGGTGTGATTGGTGCGATTGGGCCCGTCAGGTGGTTGGCGTTCCGGTCACAGCATTGAGGTTGGTGCGGAAGCCAAAGGCAAAGGTGCCCAAAAGAACCAAGACAAACATGTTGATGCCAACAGATGTACTTCAGCCTATTTTAGTGTCAATGTGGACTATTATTTGTGTGAAAAACATGCAGAATGGAAGAGCTTTGTGCGTGCGTGGACAGGGAAGATGTCTGTGCTCTTCTCTCAAATGAATGTAACAAAAGTGTGATTTTTCATCTTTCGTCAGATTCAAAGAATCGTCATGACGCTCCAAGTTTTCTGATCTCTTTCAGTGAGAGTTGTTCCAGATTGATAATGTGTTGAACTCAATTCAGAGTGACACACAGATCAGTCTGGTATGAGCCAGGTTATGATCAGATCAGAGACTGAGGAGGTGCTTCAGCTCTGCATGAATATAAAGAAAAGTGCCATGTTAATGTTAAATGACGTCTTAACAACCACAGAGCCGTTGGTGCTGCACTATGTAGTTTTAGTAGAGGATCCACCACCTGCTTGTCTCCATGGTGATGTTACTTTATAGTCTATCAGTTTCCATAGTATGCAATTAAACTTAGATAATCAAAGAGATCAGTTGGATCTGTGAAGAGGCAAGTCTGCTCACATAAGAATGCATCATTTTAAAGGTTTATAATAAAACCCATTTAACAAAACATTAATGAAAGAGAATTTTAATTATTTATCTTCCACGTACATCTCTCAGCTTAACATTGACTCACACACAAGCTATATTTACACCATGATCTTTGCTTGGCACACCATTGGCATACCACTATCTGTCTTATTGATGGTAAATAAACTTCTCCTGCGTCCAGTTGGTCTCCAGCCTTTTGCTTCCGCCCTTTCTTGGACAAGCTGAAAACCTCTACAACAATTAAGATACCCATGGAGACAAGCAGCTGACAAAATATTCTGTACTCACAATGAATCATTTTGAGACTTAAATTTATTAATATGACCTTTTAACAGGACGCTTTGAAAAAGAAACGGAGTCGTCAGCTTTAATAGAACCATGCTTTATGGAGTAACAGATATGATACAGAGGTGCCCGGTAGAACATTGGCTGTGGCTAAGGTTATCTGAACAAGTACACAGACGTCAACATACTGCATATAAAAATATCGGACTCTGAATGCATAGGTTAAGTCGAACTGTTTTCCGCAACCCAGCAACGCTAAGCTCGCCCTCCCCTTCAAACTGAACTCAAAAGCTCCGTTAATTCTACTTTAAAACAGGCTCCTTCTCACTTCGCTTCCCATTTTCAACAAAGTGAACGTAAAAGCACTCTCGGTAGTTTTGTTTTTCATTAATAAAAATTCTACCCCCGCATTGCACTTTTTCATTCTTAAAGGCGTGCTGTGTAACTTTTCTGGTGTGGTCTGCCTCCCGCTTGTCGCCATGGAGATGTAATTGCTTTGTGTTTGGCGTTAAAGTGCCCATATTTACGTGATTTTTTTGTTGTTATAATGTTGTTTCCTCATCACAAACCGACCTGGAGCTGTGTTTTGTTTCATTCACACATGTTTAAATCGCAAATTCTGCATTATTTAGTTCCTCTCTCAAACTGAAAACACTCTGTTCCACCTTGTGATGTCATGTAGTAACACAGGAAGTGCTCCACTGCGTTTTTAAAATCACACAAAGCTTCACTAGAAACATTTGGATGATTTCAGCTCTGGAATTGCCAATCTATACTCAACTAAAAAGTAAAAAATAACTTGAAAACTACCACTACATGACATCACAAGGTGGGACAGAGCATTTTGAGGTTTGGAGATGTACACAGAGTAATAAAAAAGGGTTTCTGAAACGTTTAAATGAAACTAAACACAACTCCAGGTCTGTTTTTGAGGCGGTAACAACATAAAAAAATATAAAAAGAGTCCATTTTGTGTAATATAGGACCTTTAAATGTTTGTATCTGGTAATTATTCATTGATGTACTTATTTTCATTGCTAAAAAATTAATAAATTGAAAGAAAAATTTCAATAAGCAATAATCTCTCCATGTAGACAAGTTACCAGACATCCACCAGAAACGTTCCATATTGCACCTTTAATATCTTTCTAATCTCTGCTACCATTATAGAGCTGACTTTTTGACACAGTAATCACACAAATAAAGTTAAAACAAATGAAACGATGTCCATACACAAATGGCAATAAGAGCTTGAGGTGTGCGGCTATGCAAATCCCTAACACAAACCATCGTAACAAACTATAAGAAGCTTTAAAACGATTAAAATCAGCAGCGTACGCCTCTATGGCACATCCCAACGTGTTACAGTCAACAATAAAATAACAAGAATAAAACAGAACAGTAAAATGTAGTGCTTAAACTGTAGAATATATGGCCTATGACATATTACGCAACTTGCTTATTTACTTGGAGCGTTACAGTTTCAGTTTAAAAAATAAGTTTATTGACCATTTTTTTAGGGATGCACCAATTCTTTTTTTTGGTCATCACGCAATGCATACTGGGAAGGATTTTCCGAAAACGTGAGCATCAAATTGCCATGTTTGTTTTCCCACTGGGATGCGTCTATAGTCAAAGTCGATCTTTTCTAGTCTTTTGAATCATATCGCTTTTGTTTCTGGTTCTGATATTGCCATATTTTAGTTCTGAGATTCAGACACCATAATAGTGTGGTTGTTGGATGTCCTAACAGCGGAAAATGGCTCGAGAAATTTGTTTGCGAACTTCATAAATGCAAATTTATGCAATTTGTGTGACTGCAAACCTCTGTTCAAACTGTTTCCCTTCCCAACAGAATTGAAAAATAGTGAAAGGTGAAGGCGATGGGCAGAACTGATCCACAAGAAGGACGAAAAAGGAAACCTTTGACTGCCTAAGAAATCATCCCGAGTTTGCACAGAACATTTTGTATGTGGAGCGCCATCAAAGCGGGATCCCATTTGTTAAGCGAGAGGTACAGAAGACAAACAGGCTGAGCTCACACTTTCTTGTTCTTGTGGTTTTACAGCAACATCACGTCTTGGTCTCTTTGCAGTGGAAGGTGTTTCTTGGTGAACAGTTGGTGCCTTTCGCTTTGCCGTTGACTTTTTAAATTTGTAACCAAGGTGGAGTGAGGGATCGGGGTTTTTCTTTGTTGGTGCTCCACATACAAAATGTTCGCTGTAAACTCGGGATGATTTAGACAGCCAAAGGTTTTCCTTTTTCGTCCTTCCTGTGGATCAATCCTGCCCATTGCCTTCGCCTTTCACTATTTTTCAATTCCGTTGGGAAAGGAAACAGTTTGAACAGAGGTTTGCAGTCACACACATCTGATTCACTTTTGCAGTTATGGAGTTTGCAAACACATTTCTCAAGCTGTTTTCCACTGTTAGGATCCAACAACCACACAATTACGATGTCTGAATCCCAAAACTAGAAAAGACTGGCTTTGTCAATAGATGCATCCCACTGGGAAAACAGACATGGCGGTTTGATGCTCACTTTTTCGGAAAATCCTTCCCAGTATGCACTGCGCAATGACCGGAAGTCCGAAATTCGTGATGCATGTATACAACGCATTTATTACCTTCAAAGTAAAATAACAAGACAAAACTGTTTTTTTTTTTACGTCTCAAGTAAGAAACAACTTTGTGTGAATAAAAGTTAAAACATTAAGAGACTTTCCTGGCCAATCACGACCAGTAAATAGTAGGGATGTAACAATATCCACATTTCTCTGTACGATATTTTCATGATATGCATCTCATGGTACGATATTTATTGTGATATTTTGTAGAAGCAAACAAAATTGTGAATACTGTATGCTACTTTTCCTTTCAAAAATGCCCTGACAAGCCTTTCATTATTTTATAATCCAAAGACTTATTTAAAGTGCTTTATAAGTTGTTTCACTGTGTAAATTAGACTGAAACAGAGCAAAGGATCATGGTCTATGTAGTTCCCTGTTTGTTTTAGCGATTGCTGCAGCATAACAGTGAATTTAAGCAGAGACTTGTAATTCGATATATTGTGATTAGGGGTGTGCAAAAATATTGAAATATCGATATATCATTTTGTTTAATGTGATGATACAATATCAATATCATGGGCTGCTGTACCTATATATTGTATTTTTAGGTATATTTGACTAAATTATTTTGTGCAAGAGCTACAGTTGTGTTGACATTTTCACTGTTTTGAGCAAAATGGGCACAGACTTGGAGGTTTAATAAAGACTTTTAGTATCACAACAATAATTTAGACCTTGTTTTTCACTGAACCATATTGAATCGGTTTGAAATATACCGTATCGAATCGTATTGAATCGAAAGTGCACTGTATCGAGATATGTATCATATCGCCAACTTCTTGATGATACCCCCCCAATTGTAATGGCCCACGATATTATTGAGAGACTTTTGACGATACAATATCACAATATTTTGGTTATTGTTACATCCCTAGTAAATAGTCTTTTTAAATCAATTTATACATCCTCGCTGAACCGATATTTGGAAGCCAGCTAAATTTTCAGTATCTACACCAGTAATCGATATCAGTATTGGATCGGTGCATCCCCAATAAAAAAACAACAACTATGAACTATGTTATATATGGCCTTGAAAATTAAAGAAGACATATTATGCAGCTTAGTTATTTACTTTTTATTAAATAATTTATTGCCTGAGTACAATATCAATTTAAACCCAGACGTTTATTTGGGATTTTGAAGTAATCTAATCTCCACTCAAGTTGCGTTCAATATGTTAGCATTGTTAGCATCATTAGCATCGTTAGCATGTCGGTTGCTAACATTGCTACATCTTGTTTTGGTTCACTGCCGTTCTCTCAAAGTGTATTTGTTCCTCAAACAAAGTCATTATTGTAAAATTGAAAGAACAAAAACAACAGTTCCAAGGTGCCTCAAAGTACAAAACAACGCACAATATGTCAACTTTAAAACAAATGTAGTTTACACGTTAAAAGTTTGTTAAAGGTTTCGAATGGAGCAGCATACGGATAAACAACGGAAATGATTGCGTGAATGACATTTTTGGTTTTATCTTCTGGGTAGAGGTGGGTAATATATTGGAAAAATTTTTTTTTTGGAAAATATGCTACCGTATTTTCCGGACTATTAGGCGCTCTGGATTATAAGGCGCACTGTGATGAAATGGTCTGTTTTCGAACTTTTTTCACAAATAAACCGCAGTGGACTTTAAACGAAACACAACAGTTGGATGGGTGAGTGGTTTTGTTTGTTTGTCACGTTCACGGTGACTCTGGGCTTTGTTCAGTTGTGGCATGTAGGGAGGGTGCTGTCTGGGCGTGTTCGCAGTGACTCAGTTGCTCAGTTGTGTCTAGAAGTGGCACATTGGACTTGCTTTTTCGCTTCGTTCCTCCGTTCTGTTCCTCGTCGGCGTGGAGCGATGAGTGTGTCTGTGGGTGTTTTTCACCGTGCGGGTCGCTGTCTGCTCCGTGTGTGTTTGCGTGCGCTGCGGGTGGTGCGGCTTTGTAGTTTACTGAAGTCGTGCTGAGACACCCGAGTGGATTCGTGTATAGGGCGCTCTGGCTGGTCGATTTTTGATGGGGTTAGAGGCTTAAGAGTGCACCTAATAACCCGGAAAATACGGTAATTTGAATGATCAAGTATATTGAATGTTTAAAAAAAAAAAAGTATTTTTTTTGTGAGACATTTGAACCTCCACAACATTTACAGGCACATTAAGCATCAAAAATATGACATTATCGTTTTGGGAGAAAATCGAACATCACCCACCCCTGTTTCAAATTCTGGTACAATAAGCTCTATTCATGCTTACGTCACAAAACAGGATGACGTTTGGAAACATGCGATGACAACTTCTGGTGTAGTTCCCGATCCCTGTAAAACGTGATCAGCGGTAAAACGAAGACCGCAAATGTATGTGATGTTTGGAATAATCTTGAATTTTGGGCCCTCAATTCTTCCCAGTGCGCTCAGAGTAGTCAAGAATCAGTCGGGAAATTATGAAAACTGAGGTCTGGTAGTAATTGTTGATTATCCGAACATAAGGGAATGCTACAGTGACATGTAGATGAAGAAAACTGGTCCATTTTCTAATTTTTCCTAGATTTTGTCAGACTTACTACCAAACAAGAGCAAAAAAATGCATAGCACACTCAGATGGCCGATGTCCAAAAGCTTTTTCATTTTCAAAATAATGTTTGGGCAAAAAAAAAAAAAGCCTTCATCAGATATTTTTCTTGCTTTGGACCACAGCAAATAAAGCAAGAAAAATATCGCTTTATTTTTTCGCCGAAACTTTATTGTGAAAATAAAAAAGCTTTTGGACATCGGCCTTCTGAGTGTGCTACGCATTTTTTCACTCTTGTCTGGCCTCCTCCTCCTCTACAAGAAATTCGGTGTGCGTTTTCTGTTTCTTTTGACTTACTACCACAAACAGAACTCACCAAAAGCTGTCGTCGCATTTTTCCCAAACGTCTTCATGGTTTGTGATGTGTGAACAGAGCCTATGATGCCATGATACGTTGACGCAAAAGATAAAAATATATATTAAAAAAATGAAATATGACAACTAAGGTGTGTTAAGGTAACCAACTCCACATATGAAAATCTGAAGTGTGTCCATCTAAAATTTAGCAAACAAAAACAAATCTGAAATAATAAAGGTTAGTCTTCTTAGTCCACAGTGGATTCTAGTCAATATTTCTAGATTTTAAACCAAAATTGTTGTTAATATAATTAGATCCAGTCCAATTTTCATGTGCAGAAAAAAAATATAGCCAAGGTTTCAAGTCCTTCTGCTGGTTAGCTTTCACATTAGAAAATCCTTCAGTCTTATCCGATCTATCTTTGCAGTAGCCCAAAGTACATCCTCCAGATAAGGCTAATAGTTATCCCCTCTTCCAGGGTCAGTGGCGTGGAAGAGCCCCAGTGTCCCGCCTCTACCGCCCGACAAAAGTGCAACGAAACTGGGCAGAGGGTCGGAGCAGAGTGGGCGCGAAAACTTCCACGTGGGCTGGACAGCATGCATCAGTTAAGCTGGGAGCACACTGAGACGAGAGGAGGAAGAGGAGGAGAAGAAGAAGAAGAGCTACTGAGCTTGGAAAAAAACTAACCCCGATTATAAAACTGGCAAAACACCGAAGCCGAACGAAGCTGTAACAGGGAAAGTGGCCAGCCGAAGGTTCATAGGAGTATATGTGTGCGAGTTAAATGTCAGGGCTTGTAGTAGCAGAAGTAATAGTAGAAGTGCTAGTATGTGAGACGTGAGGCCTTCATGTTGTAGCACGGCCTGTCCGTCAGACCTCCAGAGAACAGGGACAGCCCCTCGGCCTTCTCCAGAACCACCTCCAGCTCCTGGAAGTCCTGCAGCCGCGCCACGTCTTTGTCCTGGACACAAACACGGTAACACTCGCGTCACATAAGCACCGGATACATGTGTCAGGAAGCAGGGGCGGGCACCTCATTAACTGTGGTGTCAAAGAGAGTCGACTGCCTTTCCCTGTGCAATGACTTGCACTTACACCACTGGACACGCACAGGAGTCAGCGAGATATGAAGGAAAGCAACAGTTACAATATATGCAACTTTTGTGACTTTTACAAGCCGCAGACACAATGCTGCGTCTCACTGCTACAGGGCTGGACTGTGCACACACGAGACAGGAGGAAACAAAATAGAAAAGCTGAAATGCTTATTTATATTTATGGATTCATTCACTGTACAGAATCTTACAGCTTACACAATGTCTCTTCTTCAAAAAATATTCCTTTACCAATTTCATATAGTACCTTTATACATTATAATCAAATATGCCTTTATTAAGTTCAGTAGCTTTTATTTTATTTATGCATTAGTCCTTTTCCTGTTGGCCTTACCTTCCTGAGCATGGTGTTGGGCAGTTTGCGGATCTTCTCCACGTGCTCTGTGCTGATGTCCAGCTCTCTGCAGCAGACCCTCAGGAGAGAGCGGTAGGTCAGCTCCTGACGGTCGAGCTCGATCTCAATGAAATCATTCTCTCGAGCCGTCGGGTTCTGGATGCGCACTTTCAACACCAACTCTGAAAACAAGAAAAAACATGAAAAACAGAACTACTTTATTTTACATTTAGCAGACTCCATCTGATTGCACATAGTGCCAAGTTAGAAAGACTAGGAACATCTCTACACCACCTTATGGCTTTTAGCCAGTTTTTATTTTTTGACAATTCGCCTCATATTCACGATGTTATGAGCAAAACAGCTGAAGACTCGGTACGTCTATAAATTCAACACCGGGAGTATATAATGTCTAGGAAATGATCAGTTTAATTCTCATAAAAGCAACATTAAAACATTAAGTAGGTGCCTGAACTAAAGTCTGGACTGGTTTGTTTTATGCTCTTGGGCAGAAACCAGTGTGAAGCTGCAGCTCAGACAGGGGGCGCTCCGTGCACTGACAGCACGGACGGAGCAAGAGATGGAGCACTGAGCAGAGGGCTGCACACAGAACCACTGACACAGGAGTTCTACACTTAAAAAAGACCCCAGATTACAGGAAATTACATTCATTTTATCAAAATGCTGCTAAACCGCAACAGCTAAAGACCTAAAAATAATCTCTAACAGAACCAAAATCATATTTGCTTACATTTTAAAAATTCAGTTCTTTAAAGCTAAATGGAAAAGTGTCCTTTTTTTTCTTGGCAGAGCACCTGCTCTGTCCCTGCCTACTGACATCCAGGATTCATAGAACTGTAGTTACATTTGTAACTTTCATTATAAAAAGAGTTTTGCCATCATGGTAACAGTACAACTATTTGCATACTAACAGTACACTTTATAATTAGATTCAGACAACACACAGCGGTCTCATTTTAAGACCAAGCTGCTTTTACAGTATAGTGTTTATTTTATTACATTTCATTTATCTGTCTTGCTGTAGTTTACCTTGCACATTGACAGGGAATGTACTGGTGAAGAAGAAGGGCTGGAACGCTGGCATCTGCCCCCCTCCCTGGCTGTAGGTGAGCTGCTGGGGGATGGACTGCTGCCGGCTGACCCCAGGCGTGGTGCTCTGTACTGAGGCCTGGGCCCCTCCACCGTTCCCGGGCAGGTTGGGGCTCGGGGTGGCCAGCGAGGGGGAGTGGACCGTGCCGTTGTGGTTGGCGTACTGGTGGTCTATGTGGTTGAGGTGAGGCTCCACAGACAGGTCCATGGGCACGGGGCAGGTGACGACAGGGTGGTTGTGTGAGGGCGGGGGGGTGGAGGCTCCGTTCTGCTCACACATGGGGATAAACCCTCTGCTGCTGGCCTGGCTCAGAGGCCGTGTGCTGGGGACGGATGAGCTCTCTGTGGCCTGGGTCTGGGGATGTCAAGATTATTGAGTTAATCCATAATTCTGATTATTCAGATCACAGCAAGAGCTAAAACAAATATGAGAATTTAAGAGGTAAATTTAAATTAACTGTACACAGCCTAAGCTATTGCCTTTCTAAAAAAAACTGTACTACATTCAAAACTGAACCTGGGTTGCCAGAGCCTTAACCTACAGATGGAGGACACGAAGTTTTTCTTATTCTCAGTAAGTGGACAATATTGCAGCAGTAAACGCTGCACTAGCACTGATTCATGACTGGCTAAATGTGCTGGGGTTTAGGGAGTCAAATCAATGAGTCCTTTTAGGTTTAAACAGAACAAAACGGCGACTGAATAGCTACGCTTCACAACAAGAGGGTTCTGGGTTCGCTCCCCAGGTTGCACAGGCCTTTCTATTTTGAGTCTGCATGTTCTCCCTGTGTCTGGGTGAGTTTCCTTTGGACACTTCAGCTTCCCCCATCAACCCAAACCCCAGGAAGACGTTAGGAAAGATGCGATTACAACTTCCCAGGCCCAGTTTTTAAAGTGAATTAATCGTTGCATTTATATAGCGCCTTTCAAGATACTCAAAGCGCTTTACAGTTCATTGTTCATTCACTCAACACTCAGTTGTGGTAAACTACTACTGTAGCCACAGGTGCCAATCTGCGCCCCTCCAACCACCACCATCACTCACGCACACACCACTTTCATACTAGGCAGTGTGGGTGAAGTGTCTTACCTAAGGACACAACAACCCACTGTGGCACCTGGAATTCCCAGTGTCTCCCATCCAAATACTAACCAGCCCCGGCCCTGCTTAGCTTCTGAGATCAGACGGGATCAGGCTTTGACAAACCGGTATGGCCAGTTTTCTTCATCTCCATGTCATTGTAGCATCCCATTATGTTCAACTCATAAACAATTACAACCACACCTCAGTTTTCATCATTTCACCACTGACACACAACTCCGAGCGCACTGGGGAAATGCGATTAGAAGAGATGAGGCACCAAATTCAAGATGATTCAAAACAGGACATATGTATGCAGTCTTCATTTTACCGCTGATCACTTTTCAGTAACTACACTGGAAGTTGTAATCGGATCTTTCCAAACGTCTTCCTGGTTTGTGATGTAAGTGTGAATACAGCAGGGGTCTCCAACCTGTAGCTCTCCACCCCCTTCCAAGTAGCTCGCCAAGGGATTTTGGAATTACACTTACTGCACTGAATAACTCAAATTTGATTGATTAAATGCCTATTTCCTTTGTAAATGTATAATTTGAATGCCTAATTTTGTGCATTGATAACTGAATAATGGGTTATGTTTTATAGAAATCTAACTGTGCCTCATCTTTGTATCACCGTGGCTCTTATATTTACAACATTTCTGGCGAGCGCTAAAATGAGTAGCTCTCTGGCATTTTCATTTTACAAAAAGTAGCTCACAGGAGGAAGAAAGTTGTAGACCCCTGGACCAGAGCCCAAAGGTCAAAGCCTTCAGCCTAAACTAGTCCCGTCTAAGCCCAGCAACAAGATCACGGAAGTGGGTCCCTGAGAGCTGTGCTGCGATGCTCAGCGCCCCAGAGGTATTGACAGATGGGTCAAATGCAGAGGACAAACTGGATTTTAGCACTGAAACTGGCAACCCAAATGTCAGACTTGTTCGATACTATTTTCTGATTTGATATACTGTAAATTCTTAAGAACAAAACACCAAATTCAAACAGTTCCTTTAAGTCATTTCCAACTCGTAACTGTACTTTATCATTCAGAAACTTTTGGGAAAATGAAAGAAAATTAAGCATTTCACTGTTGTTTGGTGATGGTGCCAATGATCTCGAATACTGATTAATCATGGTGTTTTTTTCCCCTTTCCTCACAATAATCGCAACAGTAAAATATGACATGGGGACGTCTCTACCTGTGGCTGGTTGTCAGTCTCGTGCACAGGGGACAGAGGCACAGAATCCCCGTTACTGTCGTCTCCGTGTTCAGCAGAGCCGTTCTGTGTGAGGTGCTGGCTCAGGACAGCGTCGCCCGGCTTGTCCAGGCTGGAGTACACGAAGGGCGGGTTGGACAGGTAGTTTGGGATGATTGGCAACTCAGGCTCCTTCACTTCAGGCACTTCCTCTACTTCAACTGTAAAAAGATAAGTTGAAGTTTACATCCGGTTAAAGGGCATAGTAGGTTTTTTCACTAAAATAACTAACATATATTACATAAAAGATTTTACTGAAAAAAAATCTTGCCTAGTTTGGTCTATTTTTTTATTCTGATGAAGTGTATCATTTTCCTTTCTGGTTTGACCCCAACAGCTGATGTAACATACCGTATTTTTTGGACTGGACTATAAGTCGCACTTTTTTTCATGCTTTGGGTGTTTCCTGTGACTTATACTCCAGTGCGACTTACATATTAAAATTTTCAGACTGACAGCTGTGAGAAGGCGCTCTAGGCTTGTGTATCAGTTTTCTGTGCAGGTCTCCTGCAGAAAAAGCCACTGTCCTGCTGCAAGTAGTGAAATACACAGGTGAAAATGGTAATCGAGCAGCAGAAAGAAAGTCTGGAGTGAGCAGGAAACTTGTGAGGGACTGGCGTAAAGCGGGGATGGAGATCACAGCTTCACGACAACTGGGCGGGTGCACCATGCAACTTTCCTGGAAGTCACTGGATGACAAAGCCTGGTCTTCTGTGACTTCTGTGTCTTCTGTGTGGAGTTGCTCAGAAGTGACACAGAAGATGAAGAATTCAATGGATTCAATGGATTTAGTGCTTTGGAGTGAGATCGTGAGTTTGGTCAACTTATGTTATGTTGTTTATGATATAAATTATCTGAATAATTGTTAATATGTTATGTTAAAGTATTAACGCCTATTCAGCCTGTTGTTCTGTTCTGTTGTTATTACTGTAACTTGCCTTTCAAGATGGAATGTCGGTTCCTGGTCCCTGATTTATAAATTATATATGTTTTTTTCTTCTTCATTACACATTTTTTGGCTGGTGCAACTTATACTCTGGAGCAACATAGCGACATTTTTATAGTCCAAAAAATACGGTATGCAGAAGTACCTCTGTGACTGTTATCTAGCAACCAGAATGTTAACAAGGACCAAAACAAGACTAAATTGAACAATAGTTATGCTTAAACTGATAACTGATGACACTGATGACTTCTCTCCTACTTCCCTTTTTTAACTTTTCTTTTCAACTTTATTTCCCCACAAATTGCCACTTAACAGATGTAACACTTTTATTAATTTGTGTGTGTGCAGTTATAATTTATATTGTACAGGAAATGAGGAGTCTATATGTTTTTTGTTAATTTGGGACAGTAGAAAAAAAGGGTGGGGTTAAACAAGTTTTTATTTCCTCTGACTCCTTTTTCAGACACAAGTAAAATCTGAGTGACATTTATTTTTTATCATTATTATAGAAAATAAATTACTTTTTGTATTATATCTATGTATTTATGTTTTCTATGCATGTTCTATGCATTACTATCTGAATAAACAAACATTCATTCATTATATTTACCAATGATATTATCCCACCAAACCAAATCATTACTAGACAAACATGAAAACCTGTCATGAACCATTTAACTACCAAGGTTTGTGTTATGTTGATATTATAATCTCAGATGATCTGCAATGTTCTATACCATGTTAGATATTAAAAAAGAAAATCCAAACATCCAAAAATGCTGAACCTTTTGGTAGAAATTGTGTCCACAAACCTCTCACGGCTTAAAGTCCTTTCAGATAACATCAATCATACCTCTGGAGTGAATAATGCCACCGCTTCCTCAGACGATTGTGGAAAAAAAAAACAATTCGCTTATGTTTATTCATACCGACAGGGAAGACCTTCAACTTTGCGCGAGTTTTTCAAGTGGATAAGCCCAGTAATTAAAGAGATATGAACCATAAACTAGGTCAATAAATCTGTTATCTGACACTTAAATAACAAAATCCACCATAAAGTTCTGACCTGTTCTCCAGCTCTGTTTTAAAATAAAGAGATTCTGTAATGTTGCGATGCCACGTGAACTGGTTTAACGTTTTAGGTTAGGGAACTGGTTATGGTTACAGTTTTGGTTATGTTTGGGGTAGTTCATGTGTTAGCAGAAGTCATTTTTGTAAACAGACTACATTGTTTTATGCTCTGTGTTTTGCATGTGTCAGAGACTGCAGATGGAAATGAGCTCAGAGCGCAAATTTAAGACTTTTTAAGACCTTTTTAAGACCACTTAAATGAAAATTAAGACCAACATCGCACCCATTATGCAGGCGAAAAACACCACATCCAATTCTAATAATGACCATTACTCACTGCTTTAAATAACAAAAAATACTTTTAATTAGACATTCATTCACGTTACATGATTTCACGTTTTGTTTTTTTCCCTCCTCTCTCCGTTTATAACATTGCACTGCAGCCCGGTTGAATATACAAAAAAATAGGCTAATGAAATTTAAGACCTTTGTGAACAAAATAAGATTTGGACAAGACTTTTAAGGCCTCAATTTAGGAACATGAAATTTAAGACCTTTTTAAGACTACTCTGTTCTACTACTACTAATTAAATAAACTAAACTTTTTGGTCACCTACGAGCCTTATCTCAACTTGCACCATAATAAAATACAAAACCATGAGTGAACATTGTACTTTGTAGTTTTCCATGAAGTATTCTAATAGTATATTCGCAAATGTTTAATGTAATGATTTTTTATCAGTGATTAAACGCTCTAACTCGCTACACTGTATTACAACAGAAAACTGCATTTTAACAATATTCATTTTAGCTGCCACCCAATCTGTATTAAATATTATTACAAAATGCAAAGTTGAATATAAATTTTACCTGCCATGTGGTATTAAAAGCTTTTAATTATTTTAGCTTTTTTATTTTTATTACTTAAAGCTTTTATTACTTTTGAGTGCCTCTGCTTTTTCAACTGTGTACTTGAGACTGAAGATCACCAAAAGGACAATTTTGCACATTCTCTTCACATCCAAGTAGCGCTCCTGCCCCCTAAAGTTTTGCATTATTATAGAACGTTATAATCATGTTAGAATTATTATAGAACTGCCTATAGAATATTGTGATTAGGCGTGTGCAAAAATATAAAAATATCTACATATCGTATCGTTTAATGTGACAATACAGTATCGATATCGTGGGCTGCAGTATCGATACATCGCCAAGAGTATTTTTTGGTGTATTTTACTAAATTATTTTGTTACAGAGCTACAGTTTTGTTGTTTGTCTAGATCAGGGGTGTCAAACTCATTTTGGTCCGGGGGCCGTATCCAACCTACTTTGATCCCAAAGAGTCCGGATCAGAAAACTCATGGCATATTTACCCCAAAAATAGCAATAAGTTCAAATATTTGTGCAGAGAAATGCAAATCTATTACACAAATCTTTTTTAATTGATGAACTCTTTCTTTTACAAAATATTATAATATTATGAACAACCTGAAACTTTAAGAAAAATACAATTTCAACACAATGTTTTAACTTTAACTTGTATGCAAATAGGAATAAGTCAAATTTTGGAAAATCCTGCACTCGGCTCCACTTTTCTCATTTTGGACATTTTGTTGATGAGGTCGTCACGGTCAACAGTCAAACGATCGTCCTTTAAGAGCGTTTGGAAAGAGACAAGTCTTCATTTGTGCTGCTCTGGTGGGAGGGGCCACGTCCAGAGACGCTGGAGACGCTGCTGTGATAAACACGCAGAAAATTATCAATATTTTAATAGAAAATATAATTAAAATATTTTAGTAGAAAATTTGACACCCCTGGTTTAGAGGAAGGAAACCCGTTTATGCGACACATTTGACATTTTCACTGTTTTGAGGATTAAAAAGTTTGTGTTTCGTATGAATTTTGCACAAGAAGTGGTTTAACAAAGACATTTAGAATCACAGCCATGATTTGGTCTTTATTTTTTATTGAACTGTATTGAACTGATTTGAAATATATCGTATCGAACTGAAAGTGCACTGTATCAAGGTATGTATCGTATCGGCAGCTTCTGAATGATACTCAGCCCTAACTGTGATATCATCTGAAACACAGCAATGCCATTAGAAAGTCACGTACCTCCTAGTAGTCTCTTGATATCGGGCTTGGACGTGAGCTGCGAGGCCAGTTCGTCCTTTGCGGTGAGGATGTCTTTGTCTGCTCCACAGCTGAGTAAATAGGACACTATATGTTTATGGTTTCTCTTACACGCCCAGTGCAGACAGGTCCTGTTGGGAGAAATTAAAACAATAAATTCATTAAACACATATAGATTTTTTTTTTTTTTAAACTTCCATATAGGACAGGTGACACAATTGACCTGTTACATAAGGAAGTGTGTCAGCGGTATGAGGAAATGTGCAAGGGTTGAGTGAATGATCCGTATCTACTGAAAACACAGCAGCACCATCAGAATCAACAAGTACTCATGACTTTAAGAGACTTTACTGGTTAGACTCGATACTCAATACTGATTCTGATACCACAGTTGTCTTTATTTAGACAATAGAACGTAATTTTCAACATTAAATCGTAGAGCTTTCTTTTATATTCACATGTGGTCCATACTCGTCTACACTGCGACCCAAATTATTATGCAAGTCAGTTTTTTAATAATTTCTTGATTCAGATATGTTCCACTGATGAAAAAGTGGTATTAATTCATGCCTGATAGGGCAGTTGATTAACCAAAAGCATAAAATATTTGAAGCATTTACATATTGAGTAAAAAATAGTTAAAAAGTTAATATGCTGTGAACCAAACTATTATGCAGGCATATATAAAGGGGAGTATTCTGTGTTCTATGACCATAAGCACTAAAGATGGGAAAGAAGAAGGACCTCAGTAGTAAGGAGAAGGCTTCTATCGTGAAATTTTTGGGAGAGGGGCGACCAACGATTGAAATAGCAAGATTATTGGACCGAGACCATAGGACAATCAAGGCCTTTGTTTCCAATGGTGAAAAAACAAGAAAAAAACGTGAGGAGGCTCCAAGGAGGAAGCTAACAGCTCGAGATTTGTCAGCTTTAAAGAGAGAAATGATCAAACAGCCGTTGAGTTCCAGTGCAAGCATCTTTTCTGCTGTTGGTCTAGGCCACACCCCAAAGACCTCAAGGAATCGTGTTCTGAAAACGCTTGGTAAGGTCCAAAAAGCGAAAACAAGGTCTCCACTTAATCAAAAACACAAGGACAAAAGACTGGCATGGTGTAAGACGTATATGAAATTGGATTTTGGGCAAGTTATCTGGACTGATGAGATGCGTGGCACCCTTGATGGTCCGGATGGTTGGGCTAGAGGTTGGATAGCCGAAGGTACCGATGCTCCACCCAGGTTGAGGCGTCAGCAAGGTGGTGGAGGTGTTATGATATGGGCGGGCATCATAAAAAATGAACTCATTGGCCCTTTCCGGGTTGCAGAAGGAGTGAAAATGGATTTGGCAAATTACTGCAAATTCCTAGGAGAAAATTTCCTTCCGTGGTTGAAGAAGAAACCAGCTGCGCAGAGCAAGAAAATTATGTTCATGCATGATAATGCTCCAAGTCATGCATCCAAGTTTACTACTGAATGGCTGGCATCAAAGGGCTACCTACAGGACAAGATAATGGACTGGCCAGCATCCTCACCCGATTTAAACTGCATAGAAAATCTGTGGTCAATCCTGAAAAGAAGGGTTTTTGAAAATGGAAAACAGTTCTCATCAAAGGATAAGCTGTGGGAAGCTATTGTAAAGGCTGCAAAAAGCATTAAACCTGCTGAAATTGAAAACTTCACATCTTCAATGGACAGCAGGCTCCTTACTCTGATGCAGAAGAAAGGTGGCTACATCTCCAAGTAAAGAATCATCCAGATATGCTTATTATTTGACAATTTGTGCTCAGGACAGTCTATCTGACAATATAAAATATGTTTGTTAATAAAACAAGATGTTTTATTTTCATATACTGGATGTTTTACTTTCAAATAAAGATTTGCATAATAATTTGGTTCACCTGAAATTTGAATTGTTATTACATTTTCCATCTAATGTCATTTATATGTAACATTGTTATGGATAAATTTGTAGAACCAGTATAGCAATGTATCCTAAAAGAAAGGGTGGGCTAACCCCAATAGTTTCTGCAAAGTAATTAAAAACCTAACTTGCATAATAATTTGGGTCGCAGTGTATGTGCTCTTATACTTGTTCTGATACAGCTCAAGATCATTCTAAAGCTGATCAGGAAAGGTTACTGTATTTTCCGCACTAAAGGGAGCTCGGGATTATAAGGCGCACTGTCACTGAATGGTCTATTTTCAAACTTTTTTCACAAATAAACCGCACTGGACTTTAAACGAAACACAACAGTTGGATGAGTCAGTGGGACTTTGTTTGGTGCGTTCACGGTGACTCTGGGCTTTGTTCAGTTGTGGTGTTTAGGGAGGGTGCTGTCTGGGACCAACGGATTGTCGGCGTGTTCGCAGTGACTCAGTTGTTCAGTTGTGTCTAGAAGTGGCACATTGGACTCGCTTTTTCGGTTCGTTCCTCCGTTCCGTTCCTCGTTGGCGTGGAGTGATAAGTGTGGCTGCTGGTGTTTTTCGCTGTCTGCTCCATGTGTGTTTGCGTTTACTGAAGTCGTGCTGGGACACCCGAGTGGATTCGTGTATAAGGCACTCTGGATTGTGGGGCACGCAGTAGTTTTTTGATGGGGTTGAAGGCTTATGAGTGCGCCCTATATTGTGGAAAATACAGTAAATTCTGTTCTGTGACTGACAATGTTTAGTATCAACTTGCTTGAATGAGTATCTAGTTCCGATACTAGTTTTAGTGACGATTGGTATCTGATTTTCGATACTTTTGACAACCCTACTGGCTAAGTGTATGTATGAAGTTATCCAATTATTGAAGATGTCTGATGTGAATAATGATATTATTCGCAAACTGTGCCCAATGAGACAAAAATGAAAAAGAAAATGTTAAATATTGAAATAGTTTGTCTTCTGAAAGCAACAGTTACTCTATAAATCACATGTGACCAAAAGATGTGTAACAAAATCCAAGTCTCACGATACGATATTGTCACGGTATGAACCTCACGGTACAATATTTATTGCGATATCATGGGAAAGCTCATGATATGGTGGGAAGGCTCAAGATTAGGGATGTAACAATATCCAAATCTCTCGGTATGATGATATTTTCACGGTATACATCTCACGGTACGATATTTATTGCGATATTTTGTGGAGGCTAAACAGCTTTTTCCTCTTAAAATGCCTTGACAAGACTTAATCCAAAGAACTAAGACTAGAAAGTGCTTAGAACTGTTATTTCTTTATGTAGTCTAGACTGAAATGGAGCAAAGGATCATGGTCTATGTAGTTCTGTCTTTCTTTCTTTTTTAGCTATTGCTGCATAACTCTTAATTAGAGCCCGACTGATATGGATTTTGTTGTGGCCGATTTGAAACCGATATAATGGGAGTTGGAGCTGCCGATATAATCACCGATATATTTAGTGATGTAAAAATTCACTGTAAATCTTGAATTGATTAAAAAAACTTAGGTTTGGCTCTAGTGGATTCTAAATTGGGTTTATTTAGGAAACATTTATTGTTATTCTGACTCTTTACGTCATATTTACACACAGTAGATTGGCCTAATGGCATTTTTGCATCACATTCTAGCTACTAGTGATGGGTATTCCAGTTTTTTTGTTTTTTTTTGGAGAACCGGCTCTTTTGGCTCGGCTCACTAAAGCAGCTGGCTCTTTCAGCTCCCAAGCGACTCTTGAGATTGTTTTGTTGCAAGCAGGACTAAACCAAAACTGAACCAGGACTGAAAAAGGACTAAACCAGGACTAAAACAGATTTAAACCATGAGTAAAACAGGACTAAACCAGAACTGAACCAGGACTGAGTGTCGGGACTCGGTTTCTATCTCTCTCCTGCACTCGAGCCCAAGATTAGTCCTGGTTTATTCATTTTATGCTGAACTGCAGCCAAATATGCACTTTTTTTTATCCTATGCACACGCAGATTTCTGAAAGTTTCGTTTTCAGCCGCTGCTGCTGTCAAACTACGGGTCTACATGCGGCATGAAGAGAAAAAGTGAGAAAAAGAGAAAACACGGCTCCCAATAAGAAGCAGGCTCCTGTTGTTCGCTCTAAGAGCCGCTTCGATCGCGACCGACCCATAACTCCTAGCTAGTAAACTATCGCTATTAGCCTTTAGCCGTAAATGCTGCGCACCGCGGTAATTAATTATATGCATAAATGTGGATCATTCACACGTCTATTCACAGCTCATTTACATATCAATGCAGGTCCAGTAACAAATATACGGCCAATATAGTCACTTTACAATAGACCAATAGAAAACAGCCTGTTTATGTGCGGGAGCTACAGCAGCTAACCGCTAACAAAACCTAAACTAGCTTCAAAGTCGATGTATTTCCAACACTCACCGCTCACACAGGCTCCTCCTCACATCACAAGTCTGAACTAATAAATGTCCTTTTAATCCAGACTCAAACCGATTGTCCGAAAAAGAAAATAATCTCAGTGTTGCGCACCGCTGCGGGTGTAAACAAACACACGTGAGTGAAGTGACGTCACTCTGGGGGTGTGTTCAGGGACAGTACGGACACAGACAAATTACACCGCAGATAAATACTGATGCGGAGCCACATATTAGGACATTTATCTGTCTGTAAATTGGATTAAATGAACATAATGTAGAGAGTCTAAGCTTTATAACGAGGTATAACATGCCCACGTGAAATATCGGCCCATATCAGCAAGCATATCGGCCGATAGCCGATATGTCTCCAGGTGCCCATATTGGCCGATAATATCGGTCAGCCGATATATCGGTCGGGCTCTACTCTTAATTTAAGCAAAGAGACTTGTAATTCCATATACTGTGAGGGTCCATGATATTATTGCGAGAACTTTGACGATAAGATATCATGATGTTTCGGTTATTGTTACATTCCTAGTGACCAAGTGTTTGTGATAATCATAATTGTTTTGTGCTGTGAACCTACACCAAAACCATGATCTAATTATTGTGTTATCTTATTTATTGAAGTTATCTGATTTTTACAAGCCACTGTGCAGGTTCAATCCCTCAGAGACTGTACCTTGCTCAAAAACACAGCCCACTTCCGCTGCTGCTCATTGTAATTTTAGACACACCAGCCAATATCCACATTAGGGGGTAACAGAATCCAAATTCCACTCAAGAATCCCACTCACCATCCATTGATCTCGTTCTGGGAGTTGACATTCACCCCGCTCTCCACCAATGTCCGCACTTCGTCTATGTCCCCGAGAGCTGACGCCTCTCTCAGCCGCTCCTGCAACTCCTTATCCAACGAAGTGGTGGACATTTTTCACAATAATGTCATCTAAACTTCCCGAAGCGTGCGGCGTGTCCAACGAAGACGCATGGAACGGTTCTTAGCGCTAATCGCCTTACGTTGCGCTCCCTTGGCGATGTCACAGAAAACAGATTTGGCGAGCTAAATGGCTAATCTTACCCACCTAGTTAGCGTTTGGAGTCAAAACATTCCCGCTGCACGCAAATCGGGGTGGGAAATGCGAAAACTGCGCACACGGCTACGCGCTCCCGGGTGTCGCAAATTCGCTGCGTAATTTGGGTTTAGTTTGCGCGCTTATTGGCGATGCAGCGCACGATTACAGCCAGCGGGATTAGCGCTACTCTCGGCCACTTGGCTGCCACAGCAAAGCAAAGCAACAGCAGCACCGGGGCCGAGCGTGGGGGGACGTGTTTAGATGTGGCACCGCTTTGGTCGCTTTTTGGTTCCATCTCCAGAATAGTTCCATGCTTGGTTTTACGCATCAAGTTTTACACCGTATTATAATTTCGTATCCCATGTTAACAAGTTTAATAGTCGTATAATATGCATCACATGTGAAATTCTGTAATAAAATATAATTAGATAAATATACAACTCATACAGTTCAGTTTCTTTCGTTATTTCAACCCAGTCCAATCCACTTTACTTATATTTCACAGTTTCCAAAGTGTTGCACAAATACTAATTCCAACAATAGTAATATAAAGTAAATAAAACCATTTATAACAGCAAAAAACAAAATAAATAAATAAAACCAATAAAATACATTAAAAAATAAATACCACACAACTCACGCAAGCAAGAAGCTTAAAACACTCCACTCATTTGTATTATTATTATTATTATATTTTAATTGTTATTTTATTATTATTATTATTATTCATTTTTATATACATGCATACATTTAACTTTTACCTTACCTTGTCTTTTTCGAATATTTGTTGTTTGTTTGTTTATTTGTTTGTTTGTTTTAATTTTGACATTTTTGCTTTAAGAATTTTTAATTTTTTTCAGCAAACGTTATTAATAATTAATACACATGGGCAATCATAAAAAGTGTCACAAGAAATAAAACCAATCTGTGGATATAGGCTATGAAGATCTCAAAAACCCGTTTTGTTTCTTTGATAAAAGTGTAAAATAGGGGATATTTTTATTTTTAGTTTACAATTTTATTTTTTTAATGTAGTTTTGTTGTGGATGAAAGAAAAATCTGGCCTTTCCTGCGCGTAAAAGTTCAAAATACGCAAAAATAAAAATCTAATAACGAGCAGTACATGAAAGTGCACGGCATTATGTAATTTTAATCATGTTGTTATAATTAATCTAAGTTTATAAAGTGAACTTCCGCTCTGCCCGGACAGGACTGGTGCAGAGACGGGCGTTGTTGCAGATCGAAGCGTCTGCCATTTTGATTAGGGTATTTTTGGGCGCAATAAATGATCCGCTGCTCTTATCAGGACTAAGCATCACATCTGCTGGACCCGAGGACTCAAATTTGTCCAAAATGCTCTCCGCAGCCCAGTTACTCGATGAGTTAATGGGCCGGGACAGAAACTTGGCTCCGGATGAGAAGAGGTCCAATGTGCGCTGGGACGACGAGAGCGTGAGTTAGCATGTAGCATTGGGAGCTAACACGGCTGCAAATATGAATTAAACGCAACTTTTTAGACCTTTTTTTTAGAACTTTAGCGTGAATGCGTTTCATGCATACACGTAGGAGTATGATAGGTGTTAAATAAGTGGAAAATCACACCTGCTAAGACAATATTTAGTTCAACGTGCTAGTTGTGCTAAGTGGCTAATGCTAAGTGCCATTGATTAATACATAGCACATTGCATCGTGTGTTCTAGTCATTTCAGTGGGTACAATTATTGCCAGAAGTTAATCCAGTAATGTACATTTTAGCAGAAAAAAGCCTTGTTGATAAGAAAATCAGCAAATATATACATGTTAACTAGTTTCTAATACCAAATTGCTATAATAATTGACTGAAATTAGGTTATGTGTGGTGTCTAACTGTATTTCTGTGTCTCCATCAGGTTTGTCGGTATTATTTGTGTGGATTCTGTCCCGCTGAGCTTTTCACAAACACACGGTCGGATTTGGGTAAGTGATTAAAATGATACAGCAGCCATTTGTGTTAGTAGACGGTGTTCATTCTAATTTTAATGTAACAATTATTATTATATTTGCAGGTCCCTGTGAGAAAATCCATGATGAAAATCTTAGGAAAACGTAAGTATTACTTTTAAATGTCCTATATTATTTTATTGCTACTATTGAGCTTCAAGCCAAGATGGAATGATGTTACCTCCAAAAAAATATACTTGGAATATAGTTTTGTTTCATTCACACGTGCATTATTGAGCTGTCTAAATCTCCTAAGCTCAAAATGCTCTGTTCCACTTTGTGATGACATGAACCCTACGTTTTACCTTTTTGTTCAGTACACATTGGCTATTCCAGGGCTGAAATTATCCAAATGATTCTAGTGAAGGTGTATAGAATCTAAGCACATTGGAGCACTTCCTGTATTACCACATGGCATCACATGTGTGAAGTGGAACAGAGCAGAGCCTAAACATGCAGGGTTTGTGTGTTAAACAAGTGAAGCTAACAAAATAAAAATAAAAATATGAGGAAACAATATTATAACATAAATCAGAAAATGGTGTAATGTGGGTCCTTTACTTAAATGTTTCCTTTCGTGCATTCTGTAGGTATGAGAAAAGCTCTCGGTATCTGAAAGAAGGCTATGAGAGAGACTTCCTGCGTTATCTCCAGTCGCTCCTGGCTGAGGTGGAGCGGCGGATTCGCAGAGGTCACGCGCGGCTCGCACTCTCCCAAGCTCAACAAAGCGCTGGGGTATGTGCTTCAGTCTTTGGGAAAAAGTATAAAAGATATTAAATATGTCAAGTTACTTATGTTTTATTCATTTGTACAGGCTCCTCCTCCTGCCGGAAAGAATGAGGAAAAGATCTCAGTTCTAACAGAGAAGATTGAGGACTTGGTGTTACAGGTTTGTGTTGAAATCATTTTGCAGTTTAAAATTTTGCACCTACTTAATTTAACTCAAAATGTTATCTCTTTTGCACATAGATTGAGGAGCTGGGGTCTGAGGGCAAAGTGGAGGAGGCCCAGGGTATGATGAAGCTCGTGGAGCAGCTGAAGGATGAGCGGGAGCTGCTCAGCTCAACCCCCTCGGTGAGATTTAGCTGTAGCTAAAACTGTCCACTATGTGACATTGTTTTGAGATGCAATATCTAAAACATGACCATAAGATTAACGGATCATGTGTTTTCAGACCATTGAGAGCTTTGCTGCGCAGGAGAAACAGATGGAGGTGTGTGAAGTGTGTGGGGCCTTCCTCATTGTGGGGGATGCCCAGTCTCGAGTGGACGATCACCTGATGGGCAAACAGCACATGGGCTATGCAAAGATCAAGTCCACTGTGGAGGAGCTTAAGGTAAATACAATGTTTGTGCTCAGACAAGCTTCATGTGTAATGCTCTGCACACTTCATGAGGTCTTTGTATCTTCAGGAAAAACTACGACGACGCTCTGAGGACCCTCAGGGTGAAAACCCAGTGGTGAAGAGGGACCGAGAAGAACGAGAGCGCGAGAGGGAGGAGAGGGAAAAGAAACGGAAAGAGGAGGAAGAAAAGGAGAAGGAGCGAGAGAAGGAAAAAGAGCGTGAACGAGAGCGAGACAGAGAGAGGGACAGAGACCGAGACAGAAGAGCACGACGAAGCCACTCCCACAGTCGCCACTCGAGCCATGCCTCCGACCGAGAGCGCAAGAGAAGCCGTTCCAGAGATCGCCGCAGGTCCAGGAGCAGGGAGCGCGACAGGGAGCGCAAACGCAGCAGGTGTGGGCCTTTCTCATGGTACACATATTGTGCTCACAACACAATTGTCTAAACCTGTCTTTGTTATTTTCCAGGAGCCGAGACAGAGACAGAGATAGAGACAGGGACAGGGAAAGAAGACGCAGTCGCGATCGCGATCGCTCGGACAAGAAGCGGCGCTCTCGTAGTCGTGAGAGGAAGAGGTCCCGAAGCTCAGAGCGTAAATCTCACCGGCACCGCAGTCGCAGTAAAGACAGAGAGAGAGACAGAGACAGGGACAGAGACAAGGGCAGGGACAAAGACAGGGACAAGGACAGGGACAAGGACAGGGACAGGGACAGGGACAGGGATAAGGAGCGCTCGTCTAAAGACAAAGGTGAACTCAAGTGTCCAGCTCCATTTCATGTGCAGTGGACATCTGTGTGATCATCTGTTTTTTGTTTTTTTTTCAGACCGCAAAGACACTGACGAGAAGAGCAGTTCCAAGAAAGACAAACCCTCGGACAATGGTGCACCCGCCATCAAGGCTTCAGCCGAAGCGGAACCAATGGAGACTGAGGCTCCTGCCTCTGGCTCCTCCCCTCGGCTAAACGGCCAACCAGAGCTCGTCCAATCTGAAGGTGACACTCAGTCCAATTAAAACTGATCTGATAGGACCTCAGATCAGGCTCAGGTAAGTGTGTCCCCCTGCCTGCTCCCCCTGGCTCTCCACCCCCACCACTGCCCTCACCTTCCCCCAGACCCCTTCCTTCCTCCCCCTGACTCTCCCCGCTTCTCCCCACCTCTCCCACCCTCAAGTTTAATGCCTTTGATTATGTCTTCTGTACAATATGCAAATATGTTAATCCTGTTTTTGAGTAGTGCATCTTAAGTATGCACTGAAGATGAAGGACTAGGCCTGATGAATGAGAAGAAGGTAGAAATGGTTGACACAAAGCCAAGAGGGAAAGGCCAGTGTAGCCCTGAGCAAACATGTGGAGGTACCCCTCGTTTTGTATCAGTTTTGGATACTTTTCCAATGTGTATATTTTATATTTGTCTTTGTGGACAAAGCAGCTATAAATGCCCTCCCCCGTTACCAGCCTAATTTTATTTTTTTTAGATAAATTGTTAATTTCTAAAACCATTACTTATCATTATGGTCTGCTGACATATTGGGAAAACGGGTTTATGCCGGAGTCTTTTGTCCGCGGATGACTTGTGTTTTTGCAGTCATTTTGACTTGTATGTCATGGTGCTGTGCTAACGCAGAGTGTGTTGGGGGGCAGGGGCGTTATGGCAGTGTGGGCTTAACCACACTTCTAACTGGACAGTAGGGTGTATGACATGATTGCAGCTGACTTCCATACCTCACACAGCGTTGGTGTTGTGAGCGAGACCACATGAGAAAAAAGGGCAAATTAGAAATGATGGATACTGTGACTGTCAGACTGTGCAGGTACTCACCCAGGTACTCCTTTCTCTACCCACATTCAATCTCTGAATGCTGTTGCCTGTCAGACACAAACACACACACTATTTCTTCAACATGACTGTACACTTGAATGTCTATTTTATTGTGCTTAAAAGGGGTAATGTATGCTCAAAAACTATATTGGATATATATCTTTTTCATGTGTCTCCAAGCACAAGTGAAGAGTTGATTTGCAAAACTAGATGGCTCAATGAAAAAAAAAAGTTAAATTTTAAATTTAAAATATAGAAGGTGGTATTTTTAACTTTATGTATTGAACTAAAACACTTTGTTAAAGACTAATTTGCAAGCCTCAAAGATAAATGTATCAAATTGCAAGTAAGTTTTTGCTAATTAACTCTTCATTGTTGTTCCAATTGACAAAGGGGATATAATTAAAGACCTAATTGGCAAAACAAACCAACAAAGCCTTAGGATTCATTTCAAACCATGTTGAATCTTTAAACGCCTCATTGGCAGTAAAATGTGTCTGGCTGAACAAAAGAAAAGTGAATTTGTGTGTCTTGTAGCACATGTTGCTACATAAAAATTGTACCATCCCTTTGCTAATTGTACCTTTCTTGTGGCCATTTTGCCTCACAGGGGAAGCTGGAGTGTCCGGAAGAAGAACGCCAAAAGCCCCGCCCCTCTCGCCCTGAGCCTGACACTGCGCTTCTTAAACACAAGGTGAACCACAAATGTGTAGTGGCTTATTTCAGACCCAGTCCTATGTACAAATGATGATGTTGATGATGAGAGAAAAGCAGTGTTTATTTTTTTAAGTCCCCTTCTTTGGCTCCACGAGGATAGTTGTGGTTCATCTGTTGTGCTTCTTAACTTGACAGCTACCTACCAGAGAAATAGCCTTTTTTTGTTTTCTTCTGTTGACGCTGCACCATCCTTGTTTCTTGGCATTTAGTGGAATTGGAATAAAAAGTGTTTGTGGTTTGTTTTGAGTTGTCAGGCTTCATGCCCCTCACAGTGAAGCGTTTGTACAATGTTTAAACCCAGAGCAGGACGTGGTTCCCATCTCCAGGCTCCCCGTACTGTATAGAATTTAAGTAACTCGAAATATGACCGAAGATTTCAATTCTGCTGCTTTTAATGTCTTTGGTGTCTTGATGAATAAAAAAAAGTTAAAATCTTGTTCTTTGTGTTTTGTTTTCTTTAGTTAGAGTGACGGAATAAGGTTGAGGAACACTTACCATTTGCATTTGACCCGTTCTTCCCGTTAGGAGCAGTGTCCACATCTTTTCTCTTGAGCTAGACTTTTGCAGGCTTATTTTAGCTGAAAGTTTTGACCTGTTGTTCTTGTGTTGGGTTAAATAATGAAATAAAACATGATACAATATGGATGAGGATGCACCACAACATGCTAAAGGGTTAAAATAGGTTAGTTGTAAAAAGCATCAAACTTGGTAGCACCTTGTGATGTCATGCAGTAATACAAAATTTCTACACAGTGCTTTTAAACTCCATACACCTTCACTAGAATCATTTGGAAGAACTGAGCTCTGTAATTGCTAATCTCTACTGAACTAAAGGAAAAAGAAGCTGTATGAATATGAATGAAAAATAAAAATATATTTACCAGATAAAGCGAGAACATTTTTTAGATTTGGATTAGATTTAGATTTTAAAGTGACAGCTGTGGCACATAACACTTCAGAATTCTAGGAAAACACTGAAATTAAACCCAAGCAGTCTCCAGCAGCAGCCCAGTGGACACCCATGAAGCCCTTCTCACTTCTGCTCTCTCCTGTGCGGTGTGTGCGGTGTCTAGACGGGCCCAGAGGAATCAGCTTAGGCCCTGCTGTGGTGGGACGTGCCCCTCCCCATTGTTCTGAAGCCAGACTCCGATAATACGCTTAGTACCAACAGTCATAACACCTGCATTGTTGGGAGTGCACGCCACCAGCTTCCCAGGGCACCGCTCATAAGCCCAAGAGTCAACCAATCTAAGCCTAAGAAAAAACAAGAAAAAAACAATTACGTAAAGGCAGGATTTTTCCTGGCCAACTCTGACAATACTTTATCAAAATGTTGTAAGGAGTGGCCGCTCAGACAAGATAGAACTGAACTGTGTTTACTTTCCCTTAAGGAGTATGCTGTCAACATGCAGCTGGTGCTTTGGCAGGTGTCACATATGATGACTGAAAATAGCACATTAGAAAACCTCAAAAGAACACGCTTAGAACAGCTTAACAGCTTAACACTACTGCTGGAGCCAGCTGATGTTCAGCCAGATTCTCAGACAGTGGTCACCAGCTTCCAAGTTTGTTTGACAAAAAGACACAACAGAAAACTGTCATCTGGCAAGAGTGTGACATAAAAAGAGCTATAATTTCACATATTAGGAGAAAAGTCCATCTATCTTCTGCTTTCTGGGGTTGGGTCAGGCAGCAGTCTAAGCAGGAATGCCCAGACTTCCCTCACCCTTAACACTTCCTCCTGCTCCTCCAGGGAGTTTACAGGCCAGCCAAGGGACTTAGTCTCTCCAGCGTGTCCTGGATCTTCCCCGGAGCTGTGCCCAGAGAAAGCATCAGGAACAGATGCCTGAGCCTCAGCTGCTCCTCTCCATGTGGTGGAGCAGCGGCTCTACTCTGAGCTTCTCCTGGGTGACAGGGCTGCACCCATCCATCGGTTAATCTCCAAGCTCCATTAAGCTCCATCTTTCCCTCACTTATGAGCAAGACTCTGAGATACTTGCACTCCTACACTGAGAACAATGCCTCTTCAAAATATATAAAGATATAAGTAAGCTGATTTGTTTAAACTCTTCAGTGTTAATGTGCTCCAACAAGCCAATAATGCACTTTAAAACAGCATTGTGGTCTGAGTAGTATAGAGATACAGCAGCTCTATACAACATGAAATGATCATGGCGGAGCCCAAGACAACCTCTGGAATAAGGTCAATGGGGAAACTGAAATCCCAACTTTCCAAGAAATAACTTCATGTACACAGTGGAATTTGTATCTTGCAGACACATGAATGCAGTTTAATACTCTTAGTGGGGACGCCTCCGGGCAGTCACCGGGCACTAAGCCCCTCTGCCCTAAGAGCCTTCTGGGAGCAGAGGCACAAGGCGGCAGGGGTCGGTGCCATTTGTGCCCCGCGCTAACAGGAATTATCCAGAAAGCCAATATTTAAAGCTTAAAATGATATTCTCAAATATGCAGCACTGTAGAGGATTAAACAGGCACCAGCAGATCTCTGGGTTCTGGGAATCAAACCCAAGACCTGTAACCTGTAAAGATATGGCATCAATATATCTCTATGGAAACAAGGAGGTGATGCCAAAAGACAAATTTACAGGCCAGATATTTGGGGAGGCAAGCCCGCTCAGAATAAGAATATGTTTCAATGTTTAGCAATAAAAACACCTGTAGTCTCCTGTAAAATAAATATGTTTAATGCCAGACTGTGGAACACTCCAAGAAAAGTAAACTTCACCATGGAGACGAGCACGATGTACACCCCACCTGAAAAGTTCCACAGTGCACTTTTAAATGTAGAATGAGTTGACTGTATTGGCATGACTAACTAGCTTTTCTGGTGAAGGCTCCTCCTAAAAAAATAATAATAATAATAAAAACTGAACTGCAAAAATGTGGTTAGATGTAATGCCTTACTGTGGAACATTCTAGTTAAAGCAGAAAAAGATCACACTGGAGACAAGCAGGTGGCGTGTCCCTGAGCAGAACTAAAATGAAAACATGAACATTTTTATTAGATAAATGAGCTTTTATTGTGCCTATCCCTGATGACCATAGGGCTGGCTCAGATTGCTAAAATCTAAATAGTGATTTTTGGCGCAGAATCCAGACTTAACCAAAACAAGGCTCTCCAGTCATCACACCCTCCATGTGTTCTGGATCTGCTAAACCAACAGCGCCATACAGATGTCACATAAGTTGTCAATTTGTTTTGAAGTGGAGTCTGCCGCGCTCGCAGAAGGTCAAATTCAAGGTCTGTTTGGGAACAATACACAAGGAGGGCACGCAGACTGCCCCCCGCCGCGACCGCCCCACAGCCCAGGAACCAGAGCCTAGAGCCGGGGCACTGCTGCTGGGAATGTGGGCCAGAGGGAGGGGACAAGGGAGGGAGGGGGAGCAGGGTCAGCGTACACAATATCCACTATCACATGGATAAACACATTTACATTTACGCTGCTCAGGTACAGCAAGTTATTAAATGTAAGGTCATTTTTCAGAAGGAATACTTTTTACTCCCACTTGATGCAGTTAAGTTATTCTTCCCAGTGTGAGGAAGTCATGATGATTTTTTTGCACTGTTTTTTGCACCATTTTTTACATATTTGTCTCATTTATTTTATAGGTTAGGGCAGTAATCTGGCTCTCACCAGATTGTAGCACTCTGAATAGAGTTCTACACATCAGTCTGGGATGGCTCTGTCTGAAAATGTTTGGAGTCAATGATCAAAGCATTCAAATAAATATTTTACACTGACAACATCACAACAAGCCTACAAATCAAACTCTAACTAAATCCAGTTGGCGTCTTACTCATGCACAAAGCACTTCCCTCTTTCAAAAACAGAATAGTCTGTATTTCATCTAAAATAGGCCGTTTGTACGTTTGTCAGTGTTGCCATGTTTGTTTTGAAATCACACCTGAGTGATACTTTTTCATCCTGAAGCAATCTCAGCAGTTTATAAAGACGTTCAGTTTGTGGTGCTGTGAGACAATGTTTCTGCCTGAGCTCGCTCTTGTTTGATCACCTGTTTGAGGTGTGTAGCACCTTCTCCAGCCTGATTCATCAGCCAGTTTCACTTTGTGGAAACCATCTGACTTCGCAGCATTAAGGTTCGTTTGCTCAACGGTAGGTGGGTACTTTTTTATTTCACCAATCGCTGCTACTTGGTCGGGAAGTATGTAATGCGCCAAATCCCATAGGAAGAGGAGCAATAACGTCTTTCTCCTTGATAAAATTCACCAAACATTCTTTGTTCCAGCTTTAAATCCTCGATCTCGGGAATCGTTGCCAACACAGAATGTATGTCTTTGTCTATATCCACGCTTTGTTTACTGTTGTGCTGTACAAAAGGAACCCAGGTGCTTGAGTTTAACATCATGGCTTCACAACTCTTTTTTTGATTGGCCGGGGTGCAGTCTACAACTTCCAGGGTTCTCATCTAGTATATTCTAATTCCTGACCTAGTTGCTGGAGAGAAATGAAATTGAGTGGAGGCACTAGGTGGTGCCAGCTTGGCTACACCTCCTCAGCTACAGCACAAGAGCCTGAAGACCTCTGAAGGACAGAACCTCTTGTGATCTGCATTTCACCTCTTAAACCAGCTGTGATGCCCAGGTTGGTACAGGTCACTTTAGACTGTGCTTCAAAGCAAAACAATGAAAACAAGGCTTATCCATCTCCATGGAAACAGTCAGACAATGCCACCAGGCCAAGTTACAGGTCAGATCTGTGGAGAGAACATAAGACTGCATGTTTATACACCAATACTACAGATTAGTTTATATTTAAGTTTAGCGCTGCAATAAGAGAGTTACTTACTCTGTGTATTGTTTGGTAACATTACCAAGTCTACTTATCTGTTGAAATAGTCAAGTACGGTGAAAAAATCCAGACAGGGCGTTAACATTTCCATGGAAACCAGCAAGTGGTCAACCCCTCCCAGAAAAGTTACAAAGTGTACCTTTAAATACTACTTGAATTATACAACTTTGTTCATACTTTTACTCTAAATAACAACACTGATGTTATACTTCCCTCTGAAGGTACAAGAATGTCTTTTCTAATAATAAAGACTATATAACATGGTAGTGTGTATATTTTGCAGTGGGGGTGGGGTGGGGTTACAGACAGAACAGCAGACTATAGTCCTGGCTGTGCCCGGAGCACTGGGCCCCTCCTCAGCAGGGATCCAGCATGGGAGGTACACACTGGGACCACCACAATACAATATGATTTATATATAAGCTCAGGCCCTTATAGTGGGACAAAGATGGCTTTGTGTGACCCAAATAAAAGATATAACATTAAAATTAGAGAAGGGACTCTGTGGCCAAACCAGATGGGGCTTGAATCATCAGTATCGGCCTAATGAGAGCATGTCATAATGTTTGTATAGAGTTTAAGAGTGAGTTTGAGGACAGCGCTTTGGGTTCATAACTCTGAAAGAGATTTTGGTAAATACACTGAGGCCGTTTACTGGAGCTCTATGAAACTTTTCTGGTCCAGGCTCTGCCATCTGCTTGCCCCATGGAGATGAGATGTCACTGCGTTTCCTGGATTGCTCCACAATGTCATATCAAACTTATAAGAGGGTGACGCAGCCGTGCCATTACAGGTCAGATCTGTGGGGAGATGATCTGGCTCAAACGAGATCATGAAGGCTCAACATTTATGGATTTTCGTTAAACTGGGCTTACTCAGAGTAATATTTGCCTAATATTTTAAGCTTTATTACACGCGAATCTGTCGCAGTGTTGGTCCGATGAAATGTTTTGAACGTGTGGAAGTTTTGCAGTTTTTATTTATTGTGCGTAAAATTACACACGTCGCTAAGAATCTCCAATATGCTTTTTGACACGTTCATCTTGCTGGTTCATCATGCAGTTCTCGTTATAAGCTTACAGTCGTGTCCACAGTAACTCTGTACTTGGCAGTAGCCCGCTGGAAGTGAAGGGTTAAGGCGCGCACGCACGCACAGGTGGCCGAGCAGCTCCTCTCGCTCCTGCGCGCCTCTCCATTGACAGAAGCCGCTCGTGACTGTAGCCCGCTCACTGTACCTCCCGCACTGACATCTGCACACTTTGTTTTCCCACCGCTATCCAACTCTGTGCACTGCCTGCCTACCGCTCCCCTCTCATCCCTGCGCCGCTTGGGAATTCCCTCTCCACTCTCCCCTCCGCACTTCCCCGGAGTCTACTCGCCTGTCGCGTCTGCTCCGCTGCGGACATGTGGTGGATGCTGTTCCCCCGGTGGATTTGGTTCGTCTCGGGGCTGCTCTTGTGGAACACCCGGCGGGTCAGACCGATGCCGCTGGGTCAGGTGCCCAAACTGGTGTATTCCCACGCGGGTCTGTGTCCGAACGAACTCAATCCGAACTTGTGGGTGGACGCGATGAGCACCTGCATGCGAGAGTGCGAGTCTGATCAGGTGGGTTCGGCTGTTTGGGTGAATTTGGGTTCGAACCAAAGCTGACACAAAGTGGACTTTTACGTTTTATACGCGCAGGGACCATCTCTGTGCACCACGTGTTCTTTTCTTCAGTCATGCTTAGACCATTACTTGAGACAGATTAGATATGTCATTCATTTAATTAACAAAATGTGTCTTCTGCGAGGCTGCAGTATTTATGGTAAGAGAAAATAGTCCCGTAACGCCGTTTGCACCATGGCTACGAGTAAAATATTACATTTTTTATTCGCAGAAGTACTTGCTGCTGCAAAATGTAGGCTCTATTAAAAGGTAGTTGTGGACTTGTTGCGCGTTTTCTGCTGCTACAACAATTTTCGAACTAGTAACTTTGATAACCTACACTTTTCCATCTGACAGAATATAATTTTATTCACAAAATCGTGTTTCTTGATTTCCTTGTGATCTTAAACTAGTTCTAATATAGAAGACTATAGTAAAAAAAGACTATTATACCTGACTATTAAGAAAAGGTCCATCTTTGTTTTTTATGTGTTTTTTTTCTGCATTGCAGTATCAACACTTAAGTATACTATATAAGCATCTAGTGTAGTAGCTTTGATATTAGTTTTGTATTGAATAATATCTGGGTATTTCATTTTTGACAGTCCTAATTTGATCATTTTATACAGTATATGCTATGTGCTTAAAGGTTTATTATGTAACTTTTCTGGTGGAGAGTCTGCTACCTGCTTGTCTCCATGGAGATGTTACTGCTTTGCCTAGAATTTTCTGTAAAATGGCATTACATGTTTTTCTTTTGCAATACTTTACAGTTGTCATGCATTCTTATTGTGTGTAGGCTGGGGTCACCTCTCCACAGATCTGACCTGTAACTTGTCTCCATGGAGGTAGATGGAAACCATACTGTACATTCCAATTGAATCTCCTTTTGAAAAGTTACATAGAGCTTTAAACATGTGCATTGAGTTTTGTTTGTTTTTTTAAGTGTTTTTTTGTTATTATCCCTTATGGTTATTAGCCCCAAACGCTGTACTGTGAACCTGATATGAAATCTGTGTTCTGTGTTATTCTTTGTTGTGTGAGTAGAGAGTAACTTTCTTCACACTGTTAAACTTAAATCCTGTAATAAAACTTGTGTTTCTTATTCCCGTCTGCAGGACTGTGAGTCTTTTGAGAAGTGCTGTCCCAATGTGTGCGGAAACAAAAGCTGTGTGGCGGCGCGCTACATCGATGTCAAAGGCAACAAGGGCCCCATTGGAATGCCGAAGGGGGCCACCTGCGACAAGTTCATGTGCTCCCAGCAGGGCTCCGAGTGCGACATCTGGGACGGACAGCCCGTGTGTAAGTGCAGAGACCGCTGTGAGAGGGAGCCCCACTTCACGTGTGCGTCCGACGGAATGACCTACTACAACAAGTGCTACATGGACGCCGAGGCCTGCTCCAAGGGTATCTCTATCACTGAGGTCACCTGCAGGTAACATGTTAAGTACTTTAGCTCTTACTCTGCTGCTGACAGGTAACTCTGCATGGGGCTGCATGGGGCTTCTGGCTCGTCCGGGATACAAATGTGCAAATATTTCATCTTCATCATGATTGTTGCCCATTACCTCACTGGACCCTTAAATATGAAAGCTCCAAAGTGAGCTAGAGTACAGAAAACTTAGAAAACTGCCATACTGACCAAAATAAACATCTCTATACTTGCATCTGACATGGAAATGTTTTGGCTTAGTTTTGAATATTCCACAATGTGGAATAAAACAGATCTATGTTGTATTTATCCATCCACCTCCAGTGTGCATTGGCCTTAAATTCTGACTGTGTAACTTTTTTGGTAGAGGGCCTGCCACTTGCACATAGAATAGAAAGCCTTTATTGTCATTATACACAGTATTATAAGATGCAGAGCTGCTCCTTCAAAGTGCACACAGCACAGTATAATAAAATACAACAATATCATAAAAGTAAAAGTACTATCAACTACTAGCTACAACATATATACAATAAAAACTTGTGCAGACCCACTAGGGGTACACAGACAGACAGTAAAACAGACCAATAAAACAGACTTGAGACTAAAGTGACTAAGTGGCTAGCAGCATTAAAATTATGACTCCATCAAAAAAATTATAGGTCAGATCAATGGATAGGAGTCGTAGCTCAGAAAATGCATGTTTGTCAAATTATATTTAAGTTATAAAGCACCCCACATCAGGAAAAGTGACTTTTGTTTAAGGGGTTAAGGTTAAAACTGCCATCTGTAAGTTTGTTTGATGTTCTTAATCAGTAGATGTGAAATTTGCTCCTCTTTACCTCCCTTGGCCTTTGGTTGGTCCATTGCATTTGACCCATCTTTCAATGCAACTGGGTTAAACCTGTCAGGAGCAGTGGGACCCAAGGGACCCATCTCCAGGTCTTGAACTAGTCTTGGTCAGGACTACCTTAGCTGGAGGATTTGATCTACTGTGCATGTTTTGAGTTGATGGGGGAAACCAAAGTGTTTAGAGTTTATCTACCCATACACAGGGAGAACGTGCAAACTCCACTCGTTACTCCGCCGCGCCTTTATGACCCCAAACCTGAAGCACACCGCTCATTTGGAGACACTTACCTGATTTGCCTCTCTCTCTGCCCCCACAGATTCCACCTGACCTGGCCCAACACCAGTCCCCTACCTGACGAGACCACCCTCCACCCCACCACCGCCCTGCAAACCACCCTCCCCGCGGACATCCAGCCGCCCGCCATCCACAGTCCCGTCATCCGCCAGACCGTGTTCGTGGGCGACACTGCCAGCTTCCTGTGCGAGGTGTCCGGCAAGCCCCACCCCGACATCACGTGGGAGAAGCAGATCAAGGGCCGTGACAACACCGTCCTCCGTCCCAACCACGTCAGGGGCAACACCGTGGTCACCAACATCGGCCAGCTGGTCATCTACAACGCGCAGCTTCAAGACGCCGGCATCTACACCTGCACCGCTAAGAACGTAGGGGGCACTGCGTCGGCCCACTTCCCTCTGGCGGTCATCAAGAAAGAACCGAGAGTCAACACCACGAATCTACCGTTCCCCGCCGAGGAATGCCTGAAGTCGCCGGATACCGATCACTGCGGGGAGGATACAATGAGCTGGTATTACGAATCGAAGCGGAACAACTGCTTCCCATTCACCTACAGCCAGTGCAACAAAAACCGCAACCATTTCGACACGTACGAAGCTTGCATGCTGTCCTGCGGGGGCGAGCTGGCGGCACCGTGCAGCCTGCCTAGCCTCCAGGGTCCCTGCAAGTCCTACGAACCTCGATGGGCGTACAGTAGCGTCCTCAAGAAATGCCAGTCGTTCGTTTACGGTGGATGCGGTGGAAACGAGAACAACTTCGAGTCCAAGGAGGTGTGCGAAGAGTCCTGCCCGTTCCCGAAAAACCACAACTGCAAGATGTGTAAACCGCGCGGTAAGATGATAGCCAGCTTCTGTAAGAGCGATTTCGTGATCCTAGGACGCGTGACGGAGTTGACGGAAGAGCAGGAATCGGGGCACGCGCTGGTCACCGTAGACGAGATCCTGAAAGACGACAAGATGGGGCTGAGGTTTTTCGGAAAAGAGCCTCTAGAAGTGACGTTGCTAAATGTGAACTGGAATTGCCCCTGTCCGAACATCACGGTAGCGGACACTGCGATCATCATCATGGGGGACGTCCACAATGGCATGGCGGTGCTGCAGCCGGACAGCTTCGTCAGCGCGTCGAGCAGCAGGAGGGTAAGGAAGCTGCGCGAGGTGGTGCACAAGAATACCTGCCACTTTCTCAAAGAGTTCCCTGCTGCTCAGTAGGTTCAACCGGACTGTAGAAAGGACCAGGAGCAGAGGTGGGTAGGGTACGCATATGATGTCATTCAGTTAAGATAATGATGTTTCAAAGTACTCTTACTCAAGTATTAAGTTCATTATAAGCAGATGGTGTAATCCCGCATTCGTCCAGAAGTGGTTCAAAGTAGAGAAGGTTTCAACATTGGTTATCTGGACTTTTCAACTCCATCCAGAAGCCATTTTTCAGTTTGATGGTACTGGCGAGAAGCACAAAGATTTATCCAACTCTGAGTTAACTACACAATACACAATAGGGGCATAGTGATATTAGCTAATGAAGAAGGGCTGGGCAGTTTCACTCTAAAACCCATTTCTTAAAGGGACAGTCTGGAATTTTGGACATAGGACCTCATTTCCTACTTAGCCAGAGGCCGCTTTCACACTAGTACGTATTTGAGTCGTTTTCGTTGCGGATGCAGTGTTCGTCCACACTAATCCGATTGAAAACGGCTCCAGAGACAGAACGATCTGGTGCCGCCAGCTCCCTCAAATTCATCTGAGTATGGATCTGATCTGGCACTGTGTGGACTTCTGAAAATGCTGATATGCTGACATAGGTCAAGTAATTCACGTCAAAACGCTAAGAGGCTAGAATATATGTCCATTCATATATACGGTCTGTGTGTACGACCTGCAGACGTATAATCTCTGAAAAGTTTAACATGAACCATCTCCAGCGCGATAGATGCACAGAACAGACTCACCATCAACGGAACACCCCTCTGTCAAAGAAAGAACCCATATAATCCACTGAGTCATGTCTCTAAATCGGACAGAAGCTGAACCGCGTCAGCGAACTGTTTTTTGAGCGCTTAGTTTCTGCAAATTAGCCATGCGGTTTTAAGTTTTGTTTCTGTAAAATATAAACAAATATGCTCAAAGCTGTGTGGATAGGGAAGGCTTGCGGACACAGAAACGACGTGTCTGGATGCAGATCTTTTCCAATACGGTGATACGGTGATTTGTTTCAGTGTAAATGTAGCCAAAGTGTTGGAGACGTGTGGAGACAGTTTTTAAAATATTCCATCCAGTTCTTGTATTTGCAGAGGTCACTGGTGCTAGGCTAGTGCATGTCAATGGCCATAGTTATCCTGCCACTAAAAACACTCTTACCCACTAGACAATACACCCGAAGCAAATCTATTATTACACCAGACTGTCGATGTCAATGTCTGTGTAGATAGAATAATTTTAGAAGTAAAACCAACCTTACATTTGAAGGATTTATGTCTGAGCAGCAGCAGCGAGTTGAACCTCCTGATAGAAAGTTTGGCAGCGGCAGACTGATATCACCTAGCACCTGTCTTACTGGCAAAATAAAATTCCGTTGCTGCTAAGAAAATAGTCCCTCAACATGCGACGATTCATGTTCATTCATAGTTGTTTTTAGTGGCAGGATAACTATGGCCATTGACATGCACTAGTCTAGCACCAGTGACCTCTGCAAATACAAGGACTGGATGGAATATTTTTTTTAAAAGTGTCTCTACACATCTCCAACACTCTGGCTCACTATGTCCAAAATTCCGATCTGTCCCTTCAACTCTCAGTAGGATGAATTCTAGTTCCTCAAGCCAGTGCCATCAAAATGAAAATTCCTTCTGAAGAGGAGCCTGAACATCTTAAATACAAAAAAAAATAGTGTACGGATGAAGTGTACCGATGAGCATTAATTAGAAATAGTGATTCAAGTAAAAATAAAACATAATGCAAAGACGTAAATTGTAATTAGAGTGCTCACTGGATCACCGCTGAAGTAAATAATAAGAGATCAGGTGCTCTTCGGAGATCTCAAGTGGGCAAATGACTTACTGGATGAAAAAAGGAGATCTGAGGCACTCCCTAAAAAAGTAAAACATACTTGTGAAAATACAGAAAATTCAACTGAAGCACTTGTATTGAGAAACCTTTTAATGTTTAAGTCTGATTGATGTGATCAGAAAGACAAAAAATATAAAAGAAAGTGAAAAATCTGGTCTAGCCACAGAAAAATAAAAAGTAAATCTTAGGTTGCGTTCATGCTAATTAAACCAGATCTGAATCAGGACTAGATCAGGATCAATCCCAGTTGAAGCTTCACTTTTTTTACTTTTTACTTTAACTCAAGTACAAGTAAAAGTACAGTAAATATTACAGAGAGAAGTGCCTGACTGCTACCCACCCGCCTCTGCTCAGATTGGCTCAGGACCTCCAGCTCACACTCTTCAGGTACGTGCTCTCCTCAGAGGGCACTGTCAGGGCAACATTAGCATTAGTATACATACTGTGTACTCTGTCCACTCGGCCTGATAAAGCTACTCCGGTTTGGCTCCTGGTTACGCTGCGTAATATGATTGGATACAAAAACCAGAGGTGCAGTCTGATTGGCTGTTCCTCCCGTTAATGCAAAAATGTCAACAAAAGACAAAATGTATAGTAGCCCTGAAAGCACACAACAGAAACTACTACTACTACTACTACTATTATCACAAATACCAATAACAGTTTGATAGTAATAATGATAATGTACTAGTAGTAGTAGTAGTAGTAGTAGTAATAGTAGTAATTTGATGGAAAACAAATTAAGTAAACCAATCAGAGAGAGAAGCACATTGGTTCTACCTCTTCCATAGTGACATTTGCTGTTGTGTTTGGGATTTTTGGTGCACATCTTTTAAATTCAGGTGCGTGTTTCCAAAATTTGGCCCTTCAAGTTCCACCATAGTCAGGTCCACCGCAGATCTGACTACCAAAGATCAACAAATTTGATAGAATAAAACATTTTATAATCATAAAATACAAATGTATTAGCCACATTCAAAATCGCAATTTGAATAACGAATAAATAATAAATTTGCAAAACCGCTTCCCTGTAGATTACATCTGTACAATCATGTTCTGAAATGTGATTCTTATATAGTTCATATTTCAGTCTTTCGGAGATGTTGTCTGGAATGTTTCATAGTATGGCATTACTTATTTAGGGTGACCAAACGTCTGTTTTTCCCCGTTTTTCACGTCCTGTCCTGGTGATGGAATGTCCGGGTTTTCATTATCGTTCATTGGGGCCATTAAGCTGAGCGTCTCTCGTAGCTCTCTGTAACTCAGAGGGAGCGAGCAGACACAAACAGTCGGTCAGCCTGCAACATGCTGAAGTGCAAATGTGCATTTAACGATGACTCGTACAAGAAATTCTTCATTTTTTTGTCCTGGTCGAGACAAGTGTCAGGCCATGTGCACAGGTTGCGAGGTGAGACTCCCCACCCCCAGTGAGGTGTCCGGGTTTTCATAAATGGAAATATGGTCACCCTAAGTTATTTATCTCTATGTAGACAACTGATGCCACAGTTGGGTAAACAGTCCCAGTGGATTTATCCAAAACCAGTGATTTGTCCCAGTTTTATACAAGAAATATCTCAGGTGTCCCTATTTTTAACCAATCTGATACCTGTCAACAGTAAAGAGAAGCATACATTGTCCATTTGTTTAGGTAAAATACAGAAAAGCTGCTTAAAATGTCCAAAACACAACACATATTGACTCACACTTCAGTCATAAATAGTCTCTGCAAAACAATTGTCCATGATTACGCACTCGTTTCACAGTTTTATTACTACCAACTATCAAAAAATGATGTTATTTTGAATTTTATTTTGAAAATCAAGTCAGATCTGTGGATAGGCAAGCCCACTCACAGTAAGAATGCAAGTTTTTAAATAAATAAAAACCCATGTTATTGTGTAAATGCAAGATGGATAAGTTTAATGCCATACTGGGACATTCCTGACAAAGCAATAACAAGCATTTATTTAAATTGCAAATCTAATCTCAATCGCAATATTTGCCAGAAAAATTGCAAGTTAGTTCGCGATATCCTCAAAATGCGATGTTTAGCGAACCCGAGAAGTTTTTCCAGGCTGAGTTGACACTGTACCTACACCAGTTTCATGCCAGCACCAAACTCGCATAACATTGGCACAAACAACAGGTTCTAAGCTAAACTACTACACAATAAGCTCCGTTTTTAAGTGTTTCATGTGAGGTCGGTCGTCGGCTACTGTATCACCACCGCATAAGCCATACAGAACATGTCCACGTCCTGTCAATCACTCTTATAAGCTCTTATTTACAAAGGAAATATAATAGAGAAATATATATTATCTCAAATCAATATTTAGAGAATACTATTGAACTTTTAGTGGAATTTGTAGTATAATGGAACTGTCTGCGATCATGTTTGGAAATTTGACTTGTATTGACTTAAAGAGGACATATTATGCGCTTTGTTTTTGTTTTTTGATCTACATAGAACTGAACTGGAAACATATGCAGGTAATTTCTTTACATACAAATGGGTCCACTGACTTTAGGGATGCACCGATCCAGTTTTTTTAATTCTGATTTTGATACTATAGCTTTAAGTATCCGCCGAAAATCGATATCAAACGATACCAGTACAGAACAGCATTTATTTTCTTTACACTCAAATAATAAGACAAAACTGAAATGTGTTTATAGCTGTTATTTATCTCTGAAGTAATGCAAAACTTTCTTTATATAAAAATTCAAACACTTTCTGGGTCAACTACGAACAGTACATTATCATAATTCATCTATTTATATGTCCAGTCAGGATATCGATTAAACTAATGTGTAGAAGCTGATGTCCGATCCAGCAAAGTTTTCAGTATCTGCGCTGATATTCAATACTAGAATGAGAATTGTCCTAGTGACAATCCAAGCATTTCCAATGACTTTGAACCCTGTGTGTATCACTCAGAGTCTGTGTCCGAATGTCCACACTAGCCCCTCAAACACTACATAGCACTATAAAGCTCACTACATTCAGGTGACTATTAGCCTGATTCATCAGACGGTTTCACTTCGTGGAAACCGTCTGACCTCGCATCATTAGGATTTGTTCGTTCAACGGTAGGCGGGTAAATTTTTTTATTTACCCAATCGCTGCTGTTTGGTCGTGACGTATGTAATGCGCCAAATCCCGTAGGAAGAAGGGCAATAGTGATTTTCCCTTTGATAAAATTCATCAAACATTCTCTTTGTTCGGGCTTTAAATCCTCGATCTAGGGAATCGTTGCCAACACAGAATGTATGGCTCTTCACTGATTGGCTGGTGCCCGAACTTGCACTTCCAGGGTTTTTGCAAACTGTCGAGTTTATTCCGATTCCTGACCTTGTCGCTGGAGAGAAATTAAATTGAGTGGAGGCACTAGGCGGCGTCAGCCTGGCTAGGTGGCTCTGGCATCTATGAGAAAAAAAAATAAAAATGCTAAACTCAGATAAAAATTCATTTCTGCAATAAATAATGATCAGATTTTATTGACACACAAGTATTTATGAACGTAATAATAATACTCATATAACTTTTTGTCAAGGTGGATCTTGTTCAGTTTTTGTCTGTGATGGTGAAATTATTGCTCTTTTATCAGCCAAAGCAAAGGTAAGCTAGCCAGTCTGGCACCACCTACTGCCTCCGCTCAATTTCATTTCTCTCCAGCGACTAGGTCAGGAATCAGAATACACGAGACGGTTTGCAGGAGCCCCGGAAGTTGTAGACCGCACACCGGCCAATCAACAAAGAGCTGTGAAGCCCTGACGTCAAATTCATGCGCCTGTCTGATGTAGGCACTTGTAAACAAAGCGGTCGAGATGGATGTAGACAAAGACATATTCTGTGTTGGCAACGATTCCCAAGATCCAGGATTTAAAGCCGGAACAAAGAGAATGTTTGTTGAATTTTATCAAGGGGAAAGACATTATTGCCCTTCTTCCTATGGGATTTGGCACATTACATACATCACGATCAAACAGCAGTGATTGGTTAAATAAATTTTTTTTTTAAAAACTACCCGCCTACCGTCGAGCGAACGAATCCTAATGCTGCGAGGTCAGACG